GAAAATGCTGGTCGAATTGAACAGCACACTACGCCTGTGTATTTTCCATGGCCCAACCTTCCTTGGTTTAGGCTGCAGCAGTAGCGCAGGCAGGGGGGGGGGGCACAGGGAGCACGTACCCCTTTCCCCTTAGGCTCCGAGCAGCCACTCGGGATCTACGATTAGGGGCCCAATTTGAATGCTCGAAGGGCCCAAAGCACCGGCCGGAGCTCGGGCCCCGGCAGGCTGGGCCGGGCACTCCAATGCTAGTCAGAGGGCCCTGCGCGCTTATATAAAGCCCCTGAATCGATAAGGGCCTATATATCGGTTAGACACCAGCAGTAATGCACAGTCGGTTCCGTGGCGGCATGGGGCTGAGGGCCCATTTCTTAAGCAATGACAAAGCTGGAGCTAGCGATTTGCGTTGCTCGGGGCCCCACGGCGCCTGTGCTTGCGAGCGGCCCCAAATTGACCAGCGGTAGTGTTCGAGGAGGCCCTAAGAGCCCGGGGGGTCCAACCAGGATAAACCAAGGATAAGAGTCTGACAATTAAGGGCTAATTGGAAGGTCTGAAGACACGAAGGGCTGGTCGGAGTCTCATTCAAGGGCCTAGAGACCAGCCCTTTTGCCTGCGCGACCGCCTCTCAAATGACAGTCAGAGGGCTCTGGGCGCCGATCAGGGACACCCTGAGTCGATATGGGTCTATATGTCGGTCAGGCACCACCAGTACTGCGCAGTCGGCTCCGTATCGGAATGGGCCTGAGCGCCCACTTCCCAATCAGCTGTAAAGCCGGGGCCAGTTATTTACACTGGTCGGGGCCTCTGCATCTGTCCGGGGCCTACAGCATCTAACAGAGGGTCCTGTGCCCGCAGAGGCTCTGGGCCGACCAAGGCCAGTGTTCGATGAGGCCTGGAGAGGGGCCCGGGCGACCCACCGGAACCGAGTATCAAAGGCCCTGTTGGAGGGTATGAGGGTCCGAAGGACTGGCTGTAGGTCACACAAAGGATCGCGGCTTGTAGGATCATGACCTGGAATATCAGTCAGAGGTCCTCTTGCACTGTTTGATGACCCTCTGAAACATTGCCGGTGTCTGAGTCGGCCAGAGATCACGGACATTGAACAGTTGGTTCACTGTCAATCTGAACCCTGGGGGCCCATTTTTCAAGCAGGAGCGAAACCGGGGGTACGATTTACATTGGTCTGGGTCGCCGAAATAGTGGTTTGCGCCCCTGTGTAGGTTGGGAGCCCACAGTGCACAACAAGAGGTCATGCCTCGGCCTTTTTCATAATCAGATGCGGCAAATAAAAAGATCTCTAAATAATCGGACGAGCTATCTGAATTCCTGCAGATTAATTTTGCTAGGACCAACATAGGCAACCTAGGGCCCTAAGGGGTTATGCAGGGCAACGTTTTATAGAAAAAGGACAGATCTGTTAACTAGTAAACAATTGAGAACATCGAAAAATTCAAAGACTAGCCTAAAGTTGGGCATTTTTATGATTTTTGGAGAGTTCAACTCTCGCAATTTTATGTTACATGATCCATGTTACTAAATAACTCTGACTGCATGTTGAAAATTTTCAGACAAACATGACTTGGCCATGCTAATACATATTGTTGACCCACTTCGATGCATGCTTGCAGGGTCCCTCATATCTCTGTAAACTAAGATAAAGATTCTGACAAAGCCTCTGAGTCCCATCGGCCTAGAACAAGTCCATAGAACCAATGCAAAATTAAGAGCGATCTTTTCGTGCAGTTCTTTGATGCATTTAGGCAGAAATGAGCTGTGGTACTTCTCAGCTTCTTTTTTAGTTGGAGAAAGTAAGCACGAAAATATTAAAGAAAAACATGGCCTAGATAAGACAGTAGTATTGGCCTTATTCCTGGGAAAAAACAGGAGAATGGAAATATAATTGGGTTGATATTTTAGCAACATGCCTTTCCCGAAACAATAGCAGAAGTGACTTGAAATTGCCTGCCAATGATCCTACTCGATTTTTCAGGTTTTTTTGAAAGAGCAAGCCACAATCTTCACAGGACACCAACATTCAGCAGCGATTGCCAGCCATTACCAAGATACAGTGCCTGTCTAAGAATTAGAATGCCCGGACATACGTGTACATACAGAAGAATTCAAGCAAATAAGCATCACGCATCATGCTTTATTCGAACATGCGAGCGAGTTGAAGAAAGCAGGCATCACACATCGCGCAATAATTGGTGCGCAATGTGTGATGCCTGTTTACTTGAACTCGCTTGCATGTCCGAATGAAGCGTGATGCGTGATGCCTATTTGCTTGAATTTGTTTATATGTACACGTATGTCCGGGCATTCTAATCCATAGGCAGGAGCTGTATCTTGGTAATGGCTGGCAATCGGCGTTTGTACAATCCCCTGAATGTTGGTGCCCTGTAAAAACTATGGCTTGCTCTTTCAAAAAACCTGAAAAATCTAATAGGATCATGGGCAGGCAATTTTGACTTCACTTCTGCTATTGTTTCAAGGAAGGCATCTTGCCAAAATATCATCCTAACTATATCCCCAATCCCATGGTTCTCCGAAGAATAAGGCTTATACTACTGTCTTATTTGTGTGACTAATGTTACTCGCCAGTGCACTGAACAACTTACGTAAAAACATGGCCTCGTTAACAGATGGACCGTATTCGGCGATTCCTTGCTGTTTGATGGTATGCCCTTTTACTGTCAGGGCCCTCTACTATTCGTCAACCCTGGGGGGCACAGGGTTGGGGATCACACCCTTTTACTATCTGTCAACCCTGTGCCCCTCCCTTGTGTGCTATGGCTGCGCACTTGAGCTGCAGTGTTTTGTATCCGAGATCGTTTTCAGAAGAGGTGGGTGACACCTGCCACCTCTCAGTCGCTTACTAGCCAATGCACGGACCGGGAAGTTTTTCAAGTCCATCATCGAGTCGTGGCCGGTGCATTCACATACACCGTTACGTTAGCTTTACATCTGCATGTGCTGTGGTCGCTGAGATGTGACACCAATTCTGAAAATTACCACCAAAACAGGATATTTTATTGCTTGCGCACGAAAACGCGTAAACTTGTACACACATAGACCCACAGCGTCCTCTATGGAATCTTCCGTTTTCTCCTCCGTCAGAATATATCAGCCTCGTGTCGATGGGACGCTTTGATATTGGATCAGCGAGATCTGGACACGGCTTAGGCCCTGGTATTTCACGTTTCAGTGTTAAAATTGAATCCTTTCACGCATTCATGCAGTAGGGAAAGTACAATTGTAGAGACATTGCAAGCTTGCTGGAAAAATTGGCCCAAGCGCAGACTCCTTGTTTACAAATGCCTGATAATTCACGTAACACACCTGTTACAGATTTTGATGTTGTTTTTTTTTTTGCTGAGAGGTGCATCAGCTTGCAGCCGGGGTTGCGAGCTATTGACCCCTAAAAGACATACCGGCCGGTGCGGGCCGGTTCGGCCGCTCAAGTTGAAAACTTACATAGTTCAAGCAGGCTCACCCGGCCTGCGGCTTCCCTCGTAATGAGCACCACACACTGATTTTAGCACACAACTAGCGCCGATTCATCATGGTATCGCCCTCCTGACATGGCCTACACATCTGTTAATGGTAATTTAAAGTCTGTCATGGGCATGGCCGCTGCGTTACTGATGTCATTTCACCGTACTCAAAACAATTCGGGTCATTTGACGTCCCTCAGTAATAGGAAGTAATCTGGACAGTGCAGCTCTCTGAGACGACCACGACTTGTGCTGACGTGCCTCCCACCACCCCGAGCCCTCTCTGGGCTGTGCAAGGCATGGCCATTTTGTCAGGGCAGATCAGACCAATATGCATGAAAAGACGTCGAATTTTACGGGCGTAGAACGCACCGGTTTGGTGATGGGCCAGGAAGGCCAGAGGGTCAAGCTGGCCTGCCGTGCGAAGTTGACGCTGACCATGCTGACCACTTCGAACCAGCGGTGTTCTGTTGACCGTTTAGGACCGACGACAGCCATGGCTGGTCGTGCTGACCGCTAAAGACTAACAGTGTTGACCGTAACCGACTAATGGTGCCAAGTGTTAGGAAATAAGAGTGTTGAAAGCTAGGAGCAGCACAAGTCCACGGTTGCGTTCTTATGGTGTTGGCTATAAAGGGTAGAAAGTTGACCGTACCGCTCGAATGGCATCACAGCGACGAGCCGTCGGAGCCGACTCCGTTACGAACTCAGTAATGCCACGGACAGGCGACGTCGACCGTTGCCTACCTTCCGACTGGCATGCAATGATCAAGACATCGCGATTATCGCGATCATCTGTCCAGCGGTGTTAATCATTAGGGGTGATGATGCTGGTTTTAAGTGGTTATGCCTATGGTGCTGACTTGACTGATGGTGTTTACAGCTAATTGGCGCCGATCGTTTTCTACTTTGGTATCAATCTCGCCAGTGAAAACGTCGGAAGTTACGCGACGATGCTATGAATTGTTGTGGACTGGTGTCTCTGGCGGTCACATGCATTAGCATTCACGAATGTTAGCGTTCACAAACTAGCTGTCGCTTGTTGGTATTAACGTTACACCAAAACATTTACGCAGCGTTTCATCACCTACATTAGAACACTCACATTAAGCCATAATGGCGACAACATTACTGGAATAACAATTACAGCATCAATATTTTGATAGCATTTTGCTGCGTCCCGGCGTTGTCGACCGTTGCCGTGTGGCGGTACCGGCCGGGTAGGAGTGACAGTGCTGATCGGCACGTCACGGGCTGACATCAACAGTCACATATTGACGGCGTTGGCTGTTACGTTCGGACCACGCTAAACGCGGGAAGGGAAGAGAGGACGCAAACACTTTGTTGCTGTTAAGTTATGGAAGTGGAGATTCTTGACAACCCGCCTGAAGAGCGGAAAACCTCACCAACGTGAAGTGCGGATGGGGAGAAGCGCAATAAGTTTCACCTGTTTGGCTGTGGCAGCGGAGCCGATCATCATCCTCGGCAGCTCGTTGAGCCCACACTCACCCTGCCGTGTGGCGGTCAGCGGCGGCACGGTAGGCAGGCTGGGCAGCCGTGTCTCCAGACACACGCTGGCCAGCACCGTCTGCACGAACCCGGCCGTGGCCGCCATGGCGGCCCTAGAAGCGGCGCGGGTCGGTGTAGACGGACGCTCGCCACAAGAACGTGGTGACGAACACCAGCAGGAAGAGCAGCACGAGGTAGGCGAGCATCCAGCCGCGGGCGCCGACGCCGGCCGCCGACTGTGCCGGAACTGCCGCGGGCCGGGGGTTGGCGGCCGCCCGGACGAATGCGGCGCGCGCCGGGCAGTCGGCGTCTCCGGCCACTCGGCCTGCCACAGCTTTTGGCATCGGTGTTGAGTGTTTGAGGTGTGTGGACAGCTTTTGGGATCGAAGTTCGCACAGGGTCCGCTGTGCAGTTTTCGAAACTACTTAGTGATCCTGATTTTAGACATATTTTAGCTTCGTCGTATGGATCAGCTAGCCGCGGTGGATCTTTTAAGGATGATGAGTTGATGTTGCGCGGCTGTCTAGTGACCCGGGTGACCCTGATGTCGAGCGAAGATGATGTTATATATAATCGAACCCACGGTGCCTTTCACACACCACATGGAAGATGAAATATTTCTACGCGGCCAACAGCCTACTGGTGAGTTGTTGCTCTGGCATGTCTCAAGTCCACCACGGAGCTTACGTCGAAACGGAACATGTATTGAACCATGCTATACATTTGTGCCATGCACATGTACAAAGGTAGCAAATACTTCCATGCATTTGCTGGCAGAGCACAAGCTTCCAGCGAAGCTGAAGGCACTTGATCATAGCGCAAAGTTTGGTGCACAGTGGCTCTGCAGGTGTCTGCCGATACGAGCCATCCATCTAAGTGCCTCACTGGGTGAAATCGTGTGGTTTTGCTTTTATTCATGCCCATGTGCAATCGACGGTGGGAGATACATCAGGGAGACGTATTTCATGTTGCTTACGTGGCTTGCGAACAAAGGTGTGATGTATTTATGCATGTGCACCACCATGGTTTTGCGATGCGACCACTTGTTGCATAATTATTGTCTACACAAGGCTGTCTCATGAATGACGCTTATTCCAAGGAGGAGGACGTTCAAGAGCGATATGTCACGTGCCCCCTGGGAGGCAGATCCTGACTGCATCCTAAATCGTTAGGTGTGTGGTTTTCGCGCGGTGCCGTCCACTCGAGCGGTTCCGGTTGAAGTCGCGGACCGGGCCAGAGAACGGTAGGTGTTTGAGAACGACCGCTCTTTTGTAGCTGCTACCATGGCGTCCGGGCCTGAGAACGGTAGGTTTTGTGAACGACCGCTGTTGTTGGAGCTACCGTAGCATCCGGGCCAGAGAACGGTAGGTGCTTGTGAACGGCCGCTCTGTTGTAGGAGCTACCGTAGCATCCGGGCGGGAGAGCGGCAGGTGGGTGAGAACAACCGCTCTGTTGTAGCTACTTCCGTAGCATTCGGGCCAAAGAGCGGCAGGTGTTTGTGAACGACCGCTCTGTTGTAGGAGCTACCGTGGCATCCGGGCCAGAGAGCGGTAGATGTTTGTGAACGACCGCTTTGTTGTAGGAGCTACCGTAGCATGTTATACGTGTCGTGCAATGAGTGGCATAGTTTCTCAAGACGATTTATGTGAAGACCGATAGGCATTTACACAAGAGATTTACTTGGTTTCAAAATGCTCGCGTTTCAGCGGGCTCTGACCTCATTTTGCGCCTTTGAATGGATTCAACGACGAATTTCGGATCCGGTGCAAAGCGTTTGTGTGTTATTGACCCAGTAAGCCGCTCGGGGAAGCTGAAGCCTTGAAGGCCATGCCAGGTTGGATGCATCGATGACTGGTCGCAACGGTGCTACATCGACACAGGGCAAAGCCGAGTCGAGGTGCCGCCCTCTGACTAAGCTACAAACGTATGCCTCCGACAACTGCCCCCTTCCGCAAAAAAACGCACATTGATGCAAACTAGACGCGACTTCCAGTCTAGTCGCCACCATCTTGGGCATTTGTTTCACTTCACTCACATCCGGCGAGGTCCACAGGACAGCAGCATTTGTCAAGTTTATTCTGCAGCATCAAACACAACCGTGATGGGAATGTCCGTACGCATATAGACGCGCACCTAAGCGCCACAGGACAGGCGACATTATCAAGTGATCTTCCAAACCTTATACAGTTTCATAAACACACTCGGTTCAAATGTATAGCAAGAACACCTACGCATTAACATTTCAAACAGGCCATATTCTGGGGTGTGTCGCCTTGTTGCGTTCCTTTTAGTTTTAAAAACCTTGCCCACAATGGTAAATGGCCAAACCTTACACGGCTGGACTCCACAACTTTCTCCGCAGAAATACCCACCGTTATGCACAATTTGTCAACACGGCTTTGCATCTGGAAATGTACCGCTCGTGGTGAACTCAAATCGGGCCGTAAAACGCAATCAAAGCGCACCATCTTGGAGGTGGACTGGCGTCAGTCATACGCGCCAACGTCGAACGACAGAGCAACGGCAGAGCACACCTAGACAATACATGCGGATGAGAAGCATGATAATCCTTCGCTAGCTACGTACAATCAAGCTGGATGATCTCGATGGACCACCAGAGCGACTACCCCCCTCCCCTCGACCCGGCTCTGGCCTGGCTGACCCAGGAGCAGAAACTGCGCCCGTTCTGGCCGACGGGCCCCGTAGCAGAGCGCTGAGCCGACGTCCGGCCAGCCCGGCGTCGGGGCCTCGGACGACGCTGGCCACCACGGCGGGCCGTCTCTGGCGAGGTCGCCCGCGTCTCACCCGGCCGGTCGGCAAGGCACAAAGCACAGCATGGTCGGCGGCACGGCCCGCTCCCCGGCCGCCCTGCAACGACAGACGGAGCAGTGGCAGGCGGCGGCAGACACCGCCGGCTGAGGAGCCCCCCGGCCAGGGCCTGACTAGGCAGCGTGAGACCCACAGGGGACAGGCAGGCAGTGACAGGTGGAGGCACGGCACGGTGGTCAGCGGAGGGGACCGACCACAGATCGCTGCGGCCGCACGCACTGCGGACAGCGGACGGGACCGACCACAGACCGCTGCGGCGGCACACACAGCGGACAGCGGACGGGACCGACCACAGACCGTTGCGGCGGCACGCATTGCGGGCAGCGGACGTGACCGACCACAGACCGCTGCGGCGGCACGCACTGCGGACAGGGGACGGGACCGACCACAAACCGCTGCGGTGGCACGCACACGCGCGGCACCCACATGCCTCGCCCCAGCCGCTGCCTGAACGGTGACCCGCCCCCCACGCAGCACCAAGCAGCACACGTAATGCAATGAGCGGGACAGTTTCTCCAGGGGACTGAAGTAGCGTCCAGTGAAGCGTTCGGTCGACACCAGGCTGCGCGCGGACGGCGCCTGCTCAGCACTCTGGGTCCTGTAGCACGAACTGAGCGAGACCGGCATCGACGGCGACATATCGTCGGATCAAGTATCATCCAAAATATGAACATCCAGACCGTCGTGGATCGCTGACTTTGACGTGATGAACCTGATGTCGTTGCACTGCGTTTGTTTGCGCTCGCAATTCAGAATTTTGTGAGTGCGGCATCGAGTGCCGTTGCAGCCCGAACAAACGCCGTGCAAAATCTTCACAACAGCGCATGAAAAACGGAGTTATTTACTTCCACATTCGACTCGCAATACGTGTCCAATGGCGTTTTATCACCCTCCTACCACGTTTAGCTCCAAGGTACTGTAAGTCGGAGAAGCCAACTGTCCGGTCACTCGTAAGGAAAGACCCAGGGCCCAGGGAAGGGCTCACGGCACTACACCCGCTCACGCTGAGACAGTGCCGACAGGCATGGCACGGTACGTATAACCCCATGCATATACACAAGTCCAAGCTTCCATCGCAGACAACGACTCATTCAAAGGTCCACTGAACAGGCGCCATGACCAGGACAGCTCCTTTATTGTGCGGACCAATGGGCGGCCATATCAGGACCGAACAAAAGAAACTCGCGGCGGCGAAGAAACCCAGTTCGTTGGGTGACAATAGACCATTACTGCGGTCAAATCAACCATTGAGGGTGCATTAACAGGAGCGCCGTTCTGAATGCTTTGAGTTCGCATGGTCTCGCATAGTCCCGACGTGAAATAAACATAAAATAGCACGGCGCGTTTTCAAAGCCTGCTGAATCAATGAAGCAATACTGACCTCCTTTGTGCATGCATGACGTCATCGCAGAGCATGCACGCGCTATAACATTTTCAGTTACACCACCGCTACAAACAGAACGACATTTTGACACCAAAAATGTACACCAATTTCCTGGCAAAAGATGAACGCGCAGTAACGCATAAACACCCCGAAATGATTTCGTTTTGTGCTTTTGAAAAGCAAAAGATTTTTGCGCATTAATAACCATCGAAACCGAACTTCGAGCCTGACGTAAAAAAATCGATGGCAGTAGTTATTCTACGAAAGTGATGACAAGATATTAAAACCGTGCGCACGAAACGTACATAGTTTAATGCAAATAATCAAAAATAACTATTTCAGTCCACATGAAATGAGAAACAGCTGCACAAAAAAATGCCGTCGATTTACCTTACAACCGACGAATCTCATCCGTTATGTCTCCGACAATGGCAGTTCCTGCGAAAAGATAGCATTATTGACACGTTTCGATTTTCCCATCCCTGCGTGGGTGGTGGCTGTGGGTGGGCTCGAGGCGCAACTGTCACCGACTGCGTGGGCGGCAGTTGTAGATGAGCTCGAGGTCACACTGGGGCAGCGTGCCGTGACAGTTGGGGGTTGTGGATGGGCTCGAGGTCACATTGGGGCAGCGTGCCGTGACAGTTGGGGAGGACGCATATCGGCTACTGGGCCCAACAGCGCTAAAGGTGGTCCGTAGTGAATGCAGTAAGACCCGATGCGCGTCTTCAAGCGACTTTTATGATTGCCGTGCTATCTTTCACCCTCTCCGGACGATGTCGTGTGAACCAGTTGATAGATCAGGAGACAGAGAATCCTTCTGCAGGATCGGAAGTTCGCGAGCTTCGCTCCAAAACCGACTGAGAGTGCACGCCTTTCGATCTCACCGAGCAGCGTCAATATCACCTGTCATTCTCAGACCAACAGACAGCCCCTGGACCCCTGCTTTTCCCTGCTGATCCACAGTACGACAGATAGAACCCTTCC